CTTCCCTGTTCCCCAAGCTGGCCAGAAGCTGCATCCTGAACCCGGTCCGTCTTTATTTGAATGTAGTTCCCCTTACTCCCGTGGGAAAGAGAGAGCTTTGTCAGGTCACGGCGGCTGCTATAAGTCGGGAGGGGGCGGTTTCTTTGTTTTGTTTTGTTCTTTTAAAATTTCCAGCCAAAACCAAAGATTTCCTAATGATTGTATAAACTCAAAACAAACAAACAAACCAAAGACAAAGGGTGTCTTTACCACCAAGCCCATCTGTGAGGCCAGCCTGGCTGGGGCAAGGGTCTCCACCAGCTGCCAGCCTGGGGGGGCCGGCCCAGGGCCCTGGCCCCAGGGGCTGCCCCAGGCCGGGGGGCACTGCCTCTCAAATGCCCCAGGAGGGATGAAGTCTGGGGCGAAGGCGCTGAGAGGGGGCAGCTGGGGGCCTCACAGGTGGGTTGAGGAGATGAAGACTTGGGTGCAGGATTGGCTGCTCTGCTGGGTGCTTTAACCCTTTGGGGGCTGGGTGATGTTGATTAATACACGCTGAGGTGCACTTCTGAGCTTCCCCTCCCCCCATCACTGCTTGGAAGAGGCTGTCCTGTTGTGAGAAATCCCTGAAAGAAGAAGAAGCAGCTTTTCATTTCTCCTCTAGTTCCTTTTCTCTAGATTTCTTTTAGTTTTGCAGCACCACTGTGCAACTATGCATTGTATTTCTCAACCTTTTATGCTAGGTAGATGCCTGTGACTTTTTAACTTTTGGGGGGGGGATTGCAAATGGAGGAACTTTTTACATGGATCTTTTTAATCTCAGTTGATTGGGGGGTGTTTGGTTCTAGGGTCATACAAGCTCTATCCCAAAGCAAAATCCAAATGTTAATATTATTAGCCTGATGCAGATACCAAAGATAATTTCTTTCCTGCAGAACCTTAGACTTGTGTATTAAGTACGATTACCCAGCACTTGCATTAGTCTAACCTCAGTAATTCCAAAGCTTAGATGTATATTTTGGTATATTTCTGGGATATTAAAAAATTGTCGTTTAAATTCTTGTTTGTTTCAGTGTAATGCTCTTAAAGTCATAGCATGGAGATAACTGAACTTGTCCTATTCTTAGTAGTTTGAAATAATAGTATTTTTGTATGTTTTGGGTGTGTCTATGTATGTATTGACATAACAGTTTTCACTGCCTAGGTGTTCATAAATTTAAAAAAAAAAGGCAACTAAGGATTTTTAAACTGTACATAATATTCCGTGAGGAATTTCCACCAGACCGCCAATTTGGATCTCATTTTCACTGACAGCCACTCCCAACTGGGATTCTTTCTTTTATTTTAAAGAGACAGCATATTCTTTTTTTTTTTTCCCCATTGACCTGAGGTTCTTTCTCAGCATAAAGGGGTTTTCATTGTCTTTGAGGAATGGGCCAAAGAGGAAGTAGCTTGTATTTTGTTTTTAAAAAACATTTAACATGTTAGTTTGAAAACTATCCCTTTGTAGGAAGAATCAGGAGTTTAGAAACAAGCCCTGTCTTCTAAATTTGGCAAAAAAAGATGAGGATTTGTGAATGTCTGTAGCATCTGGGCAGTCCCTTTTTGCTTTGTTTCTAAGTAAGATAAATTTTTGCTCTTAATGGTTTCACTGCTCTGTGCAGCTGCCTGCTTACACTGGCTAGGAGGTTTTTTTCTCTTGCCCTTCCTTGTACACTGCATTTATACACTTCAGGTCAGCAGAACACTTGAAATTGAGGGCGATGTGGGAGTACCCGTAACCAAACACAACCCAAGCTTCCCTTGAGACTGAAATGTGAAAGTCCCACACATTTCAAAACCTTGCTGACCACACTAGAGATGAGGAGGAAGGTGAAATGCTGTCTCTTTAAAGATGTTCTTTATTATTATTATTAATTATTATTATTATTATTTTCCCAGTGGTTGCCTACAGGTAGCTGTAGGCATTGAGAGATTGTGTAGATTACAGTAAATCAGAATGAAAAGGTAGATTTTGTGTAGATGCATTTGTCTGCTGTAATTTTTTATATATATTAAACTTACTGTAATTGTACAGTTCATTTCTGTTGTAAACATCATTAAACCATTTTCCAAGTGTTTTAACACGTATGCGCTTGTTTGTATTTTTTTTAAATGTGGGAAGGGCTAATTCCCCTTCTCTCTGGTGCATCAAACTAGGCCAGAAGGTTGTTCTTGCACATTCTTTGGCCTGTCAAAATGGAGGAAAGCCCAGGGTTTTTTTGCCCTCCACTTGAAGCTTTTGCTCTACTTCTGTATTGTCAACTCCTCTCCTAAAACAAAAAACAACTTCAGTTGCTTCCTGAAGGCAAAGAGAAGATTCAGCTCACATGTATGGTGAGTGTCCCTTGAAACAAACATTGGATGTTTTTTGAAATCAAGATCTATTTATCTACAAAAAGAATAAAGATGATTCCACACTGCACCCCACCCCTCAAGAATTTCTTCCCTATTGTTTAGGGATTGGTATTTTATGACTGCCGAAACTTTTGACTTCTACATCTTGCAAATGCAGGTACCGTAATTTTAAAAAAGAAAGCTATTTTCAGTACGCTTTGTTCTTGCATCAAGAGTGGTTTGCAGTAGCCACTTTACTGCAGTTTTTTGTCTCAGCTGTTTGAGGTATCAACCAATTCTTTCCTATTTTTGTTGTCATTGCAGAAGAACAGTAAGGGATCTAGGAAATTCTTTATAAGAAACATTCCTTGCCATGCGTGGGATGTCTTGGGTTGAGTATTTTTGTCACTTAGTGTCTTTGAAATAGTCTTCAAAAGCTACAAGCACCTACTGCAGATACAGTTTCACTGATTAAGAAGTCAGGCCTCAGCCTTGTAATTTGCACTGCACCTATTTCAGCAAGTTTTTTCTGCTGCTCACCCAGTCCCTTAAGAAAGGAACACATGACCTCACCTGGTCAGTGCCCACAGCAGCAGCTCTCATCCCCACAGTCGTGCTTTAGCTCTGCTCCCGCTGCCGGGGCTGGCGGAACGAGCCCGGGTTGCAGGGCCCTTCATTCCGCTGGGCTGGTTTTGGCCTTGCCGCGTCGCTTGCAGACTTCGCTCCGCAGCTGTGTCACTGGCAAAACAGGATGCAGCAGGAGGTGAGTGTCCCTTTTATACTGGGAGCTTACAGGATTTTTCCAACATCCATCTCCCAGGATGTTTTAGAAGCTCCTGTTGGAATGCTGTCCTTCTCAGCTTGCCGAGGAGATTGCACTGTTGGTGGTGTAAATTGTCCCAGCCAGCCTGACAGCCGGGCTGTCCCTCTCCCGCAGCCCTTCACTGCACACACACATATACACGGGTCATTGGCATTAACTTTATTGATTCATCAAAAATGTATTACATTATTTGAAGTGCAGGGGCTTAAACCCTCAGTCCTGAATGAGGGCTGGCATATGGATGAAGTCCACAACCAGGCAAGAAAGACCCTCCTGATTGCTTTTCACCCAGGGTCTGGCCAGCCCTGGATGGGAACTGACTAGGAGATCACCACCAGGTGCCCCTGCCTTCAGCATTAACATCAGTATAATAGCATAAAAGCTGGCTCTGCTTGCAGTGGCATTGTAAAGCATACCTAGATAGTAGATGTACCGTGTAGGGTTTCCAGTTATCAGAAGGGCTCCCTGACTGCTGCAAGTAGATTTCCCAGTGACGGTGGGACAAGATGGAAGACCAGGACAGAAAGAAGATTAGGTATGTAAAGCAGTTAAAGCAAATCCTTGGCAATTGCTGTATGATTGGAATTGGACTGACAGCCTGGCTTATTCCTTCCCCCATAGTCTGGTTTCTGACTTGGCTTGCTCCTTTTTTTGCTGTATCATATAACCGTGAGTGAATACACAGATCTATTTATTCCTTTGGTGGTCAGCCATCTCATATCTTTCATATGTACTTTGGAATGGGATGGTGAAGTCTTTCCTATATGTAATACTTCAAACGAGACAAGCAGTCAGCAAAAGATCATCTCTCTTTGGATTGATACCTGCATCATCTTTTAAAGGTAACATGATGATAGATTGGTTTGGAAACTGGATTTATAGTGGCTTTAGAACAGTTTCCGTTGCCCAGAAGTGGTAGTCTGGGTCTGTCTGACATCAGAATTAGCATGCTGAATTGGAAGGGGTGCCTGTTCTGCAGAGAGAGATGTAGATGTTGCTAGCATTGGGTGGCAGACATTTTAGCCAAACCCTTCAGCCAAACAGGATTCTCCAGGGTGAGTTTTCCTGGCTTTTCCAGTATTGCTCCCTTTAATTAGAGCACATACTCTTTGGTTTTGTTGTAACAGGGGTATCTTCTGCCTTCTGAGAAGCCTCTTAGGCAGGTTACGTTCGTCTTGCTCAGCTCCAAGTGCTGGATGAGTGGAACTACCATTGTCTGACCTTTCCTTTGGAGCTTAGTGCTCCTTTTCTTCACACTGAACAGCTGGTGTTCAGCCTCTGTCCTTTGCTACAATAGCATCACATCAGTTTTTACAATTAAAGAAAAAAGTCATCATCTGACACTGAAGCAGTTTTTAAAAAGTGAATTTAAGGCCAAAGTTTGTCTGGCCTGTGTCAAAGAGTCTTAAGGTAAATATTACAGGAAATAACTACAGCTCTATCTTTACAAGTTCTTTAAATGCAAGGAAAACATAATTACATATCTCGATCACCCTGGAGGGCAAGTAAGAGCTACAAAACCAGCCATGTTGGTAGGCATGGCCTGGTTCCACAACATAAATCTTACAAAAATCAGCCTAATAACCACTAATATTTGAAACAACTTTACAGGTATGTACATTTTAATAGCTAAAGCTTGCAGTTACATGGTTCAGGAGTGAAGAGAGCAGGAACCAAGTCCAGATGTATTCCCTCTGTGCATTGACCAAAGCAGGCTGCTGCACTGAGAATACACGGTGCTGGTTTTGGATGAACAAGGCTTTCCCTCCTCTCCTCCCCAGAGCAGGTGGGCGTCTCTCTTGCCCATCCCCTCTGTGACTCCCACTTAGCGAGGGGGCAAAGGCTGCATTTGAAGAGCATCATAAGTGTCCTTGGTTGCTGTACTGAGTCCCTGAAAAAGAAATACAGGTGAGCAATGAGCGTGAGTGCTTAGTGTTCCCTAGATGACCAGTCAAGAACTGGGTGACGGGGGCTCAGGAGCATAATTCCAATTTTTTTAATTTTTTTTTTTCTTACAGAGGTTTTTCTCATAAGTGATTCCTTAGTCTTTGTATGGTGTCAATAGCTATGACTTACCTGAAGGCTCGATGCATCCTAACTCTTATGAACGTATGACTACCGTAACTCATCCTAACTGGTTATGCAGAGCTATAGAGTACATTTTATTTGCATATTCTTGACTATTAAGAGCTGACTGATGGTAGAGTGACCTTTGTTAACTAAATGAATAGACATCAAATCATGAACTTTGTTTTCTGGACTTCTCTTTAATTTGGAAGGGAAGTCAGATGCAAGCCTGGATAAGCTGACAGTGGGGTTTCAGATGGCTATGAACCTCGGGAAGATCCCTTTACACCCCTTCCTGCAATGCAGCAGTCTTCCTCCTGGCTGCCTGCTCTGGTGGTTACAGGTCCCAGCTGATGCTGTGGAACCAGCTACTCCAGGAGAGATACAGTAGAAGATGTGGCAGAGTTGCACATCAGCCCAGGAGGCTGCCAGAGCAGAGGTAAGTGGGGCCTCCAAGAGTGGGGATTTAGTAAGGCATGTGGTGCTTGCTTGTGAAACTTGCTTGCTTGTGCTACCTGTCACTCCTGCTATGAATATTTAGTGGCATACTCAGTACGTTGACAAGATAGTGCTTCTTAGCAGCTACCTGTGATTGTCTCAGTGGAGCAGGTTTTTTAAGAAAGGTACCATTAGCTACAAATATGCCACAAATATGACAAATATTTTTGTCATTTTGAGATGTCAGTGGCCATGTACAGGCTTCTACAGAAAGTAAAGCACCTTTTGGAACGACTATGCATGGTGGCCCAAATAGGGCCTTACTCATGGACTCCTTGCCCTCTGTAACATGTGTGCAACACTGCACCCACACCAGTGCACCCAGAGACTGGAGATGGTGACCAGTTTGTGCTCTGCAGGCTACAGTGAGACCAGCTGAACCACTGACAAATTACAACTGTGGTTTGGCAACCTGAAGGTTTCCATTTAAACTATTTGGAGACAGAACTCTGTGTGCCATCAGCTGCAGTCAAAAAGTGGTCCTCCAAGATGTAGGACTGTGGAGACAGTTCCTAACAAAGCAGCTGAACAAGTGTTCCTGCCAACTGTAGTTAGAACATGAAACCACTTTTTCAATGTACAGGCAGTGTGGCCTTTGCTCTGAATCTGAGTAACTATCCTCAGAAAGGTGCTTTGATAAGCCCTCCTTCATCATGCATCACTAACAGTGCCGTTAGATATGTTACTACAGGCTACAAAGAAGCCACGAAGACAGATGAGGGGAGAAGTTGCTGGACATGTCACCTACCTGGTAGAGACCTTCATTCCCTTTGGCTCGCCGCCTCTGCTGGTTTGGGAAAGGAAAACAAGCATAGATTAATGGGTGCTTTCCTGATTACATGGAAGGAAAGAAACCCCTGACTTCCCCCATCCTGTACTGAGGGTCAGCCGCTGTGCTCAGCCTGGACACCCTCCATGCAGGTGGGAAAGCACCTGCTAAGTCTGGACCAGCCGAGACATGCTGCAAACAGCTGTGAAGGAGAAAATTGCAAGGGCTGGAAATAAAAGGAAATTATTTTGCTTTGCTCACATATTTTCCTGTCATGCTGTCAATGCTGCTATTTCTTTGATTTACTGTAGGTAATAGAGATTTGGCAGTGCTTCTACAGACACCAATTGCTTTATGAGTTGAAGGCACACCTGGAAGAAATGGGGCTGTATTTTTTTGACCTGCTACATGTCAGCTGGTGTCTGAGGAACTCTGCCCTCTTTTTGGACAGATGTGGGTAGATGAGTAAATTCTCCAGCACACATTTTGTAAGCTCTCTAGAACTACAGATAAGGCTATCTGAAGACAAAGTCATGCAGGATTCAGTAAAATAGGTTCTGGGACTGTCAGGGTACAAGTAGAGCACGGAAACCAGGCCGCTCAGAGCAGACAGGTACAAAGAAAAGCCTTCTCCTTGAGCCGGCTTGCTACTGCATCCCCAGGGTTACGGGGAGCTGCCAGGCACAGCAGCCATGTGGTGTGCTCTCACCTCCAGGTGAGAAGCAGAGATGGCAGAGCTGACAGCTGGCCGGGTGGAGGCTGGCATGTGAAGCCCACAGCTTGTCATAGCTGCCCTACAACAGGAGAGCTCTGACTGTATCACAAACACGTGCCAAGGGGGAGAGGTGCCTGTTAAATGATCGTGTGTGCATATGTGCATATATATATATATATATATATGGATGCATGTATGTATCTCTATATTTAGAATGAGGCAAGGGGTTTGTGTTCCTGTCCCACCGGTAACAGAAGCATTCATAAAAACATGGTGCAACTTTAAAAACCCATACCTCGCAAACTGAGCTTCACTATGACAGAGGGACATCAGAATAAAAAAAAGGGAAGGGACTGAAAGCTGGTGTTGCTTTAGTATTTCTCAACACACTAAACTTTATTTTGAAATGACCCTTTTTCCATGATTCAAAGGGAATTGAAGGGTTATATATAAGACACTGACATAAAATAGAACCTGTGTAGGTCACAGCAATTTTTCATTTTGCCATAAACAGTGTGCCCAGATGGTTTGTTTTCAACACAAGCTTCCTTCCCCCAGCAGTTTGTGCACCGAGCTAAACCTACACATTTGCTGCTAGCTTGAGACATAACTCATGTGTTCCCATTTAAACATTTTAGAGGGGAGGTGGAGGAAAGAGAATGTTTTCCCCCGTCTTGCCCCTGTCTGAAGACAGGCACAAGGAGGAGCTTGCAAAGGCTTCCTTGTGCCTGTAAAGCATACCAGCCTCAACAGGCCACAGAGGGGAAACCATGAACCTCCAGCTATGAACTGCTCTGGAGGAATGGGCTCAACTAATGTGAGTTGCTGGGCTACAGATGTTGCAGTGCTCGAAACCAGACTCTTCTTTCAAGTATTCCTCACCCATACCTCACCCCCTGCCTCCTCAGCTGGGGCAGCTGTCAGAATTTTTCTCTCCGAAAGCTGAAATTTCTTCTCTTGATACTATTCAATCTGCCCAGGGACACTGCTGGTGTACAGGCTGTATTTTAATACCAGTGGGACAAAGCTTACTGTCTGATCTCCTCCTTGGTTTATGGCTACTACAACACTACTGCTACGGGCCTTGTTTACTCCTGCACCAAACACGCTGGTTACTACAGGAAGTAGGTAACTGCTTTCAGCTGTGCCTGTGGCTACTGTGCAGTGCAGGGACCTCCTTGTGCAGGGCAGCTATGTGCAGCTGGGGCTACTGCTCTGTAACGGAGCAGCAGTGAAGGATTTTTCATCCTAGGCTTTCACCAGGAAAGTAGGACTCACCTCTCCCTTCATTCCGATTTCACTGTATGCCTCACCCATCTTGTCCTTCTGCAGTGACTGCAAGCAGAGAGGAGGGAAAAGTCAGCATGCTGCTACTAGAAGAGCTAAGGCAGCCCCTGAGTGACTGCACTCCAAGCCTGTGCTTCTGTGGCTGCCTTGCCTTTAAAATGTCAATATGTTCCAGAGAGGAAGGGACAGTGGTGGGACTTGGCTGATGTGCATTTAAGGAGATTCTATACATGGTCACATCTGCTTAGTATTTCAATACCATCTCAACTCCAAACACTTAAACGAATATAACTCCACCCTCAGCCAAATCATTTATCTGGACTGGCACCAGATAATACAATCAAAGCTCTCCAAAACCAAGCTTTATGCAACATTTGGTCAGGAGACAAACCCAAACGTGCGGCTCGGGCCCAGAGAAAAGGGTTTAACACTGCAGGTGAAGGTTAAGAAAGAGGAGCTCTTCCATCAGGGGAAGCAGTACCCAAATGCTGTGATCAGAGCATCTGATTCAGGAATGATGAAGGCCAGTCTTGGAAATGAGCTCATTTCTCAACACGCACTGAACACCCAGAAAGACTCAAGTTAAGACATGAGCATTGGCATTTGTGTACTGCTCCTTTGGAGCACAGACTGCAACATTTGGCCAGAGCTAAAGCAATTAAATCAGGAGGTTCCTAAGCAGCCACTCTTGGATGCACCAGCATTTGGCCTTTGTCAGAAAGGGAACAGAGAGACTGGAGAAAAAAGCACATAAAATACTATAGCATCAGCCACATGGGATGAAAATGGTTAGTCAGTAATGGCTGACATCAAGGAATCAGCAAGTATCTTGATCTGAATTATTTTCCCCATCTGCCAAAGTTTTTCTCCTATCATGGAAAGCAGAATGGAAATTTTCTAGCAAAAGGAGGGGGTACAAGGGAAGTGAAGTCTTTGTTAAGTTTGAACCAAAATTGGAATTAACTAGGGGGAGAAAAGCCTCCAGTGAAACAAAAACGCCTATTTCCACCCCTCCTTCTCTCCCTCCAGCATTGTCTACTCACAGTGTAGACGGTGTCCTGCGGGTTCTTTCTTCTCTGCTGTAAAACAAAAGAAGAAAGTTGCCCATGTGTTGCACCACCAGCATCTCCCACCACCTGTGCATTTGCTCTAAAGCACAACTACTGCTTTGTGGATGTGCTGTGCCTGTTACAGCCCATCTTGCCTCCACCCATAAGGCTGTTAAGACAACTTGGTCTTTGGAAAATTAATTTAATTGTAATAATTGATAAAAGTTAGCCTTTCTCTGCTCAGTCCTTACAGCTGTTACCTGCAGGCAAGCCCTACAAGCCAATGCAGAAGGTTTCCCCTCCCTTTTCCTTTGAAACTGTTGGGCTCTGCAGCACGAACAGGTTTTTTGGCTGCTGCTTTACTTTGTTGGCACTTGTTTGGTGGCATCACGTGCAGCAAGCTCTCGTGAAACACCCACTCCTGCCTTGACTTCTCCACATCCGCCCCAAGGCTGGGTGTCACTTCCTATTCTGGGTGGCTGCAAGCTCTCGGAAAAGTGAAGGGGTGGCACGAGGGGCAAAGATCAAAGGGTCGAGGGGGACTTTTACTCTTGTCCCCGCTACGCTGCCAGCCACCCGAGCTGTTGCACAGATCTTGCCATTCCCTCTCCAGGAAGGCACTGTTGCTTAGCAAATGTGTGGTGACTGCCAGCATGTTTAAACAGCAGTTAGACATGAGAAGGAAGGAACCTGATTGAAAGAAAAAAGGTGCATGCGTGGCAGAAAGTTACCTGATGTCTCCCACCCAGCTCAGGGTCTGCACCTCTCTTTGCCCCCAGAACATCATATTCATCTCTTTGTCCACGAGACAGTTTCTGAAACAAGAAAGCAAGAACCAGTGATGGGAATGATGATCATGAGAAACCAGATCTTGACTTAAGAAGGAGAAGAAAGGGAACCCAGCTCGGTGTCCAACTTTAAAAGTACTGTAATTGAACTAGAAATTATTTTTACCTGTTAATGCAACCGTCAACAAAAATGTCTACAATTAAGCCATGGAAATTATAAAGAATGGTCTGTGCAGCACTAAACTGCAAGCCATTGCACCAAGAACCATTCTTAAGTAGAAATTAGTTGAAAATGAGAGTACGAGGGGGAAGGACTCTGACTTTCATGCTTTCTTTCCCACTGGTGGGTGAAGATCTATGAGCTTGACTTTACTTGCAGAGCAACTTGTCTAGATTCGCATCAAGAAGTTGCAGAAATTTTATGCCCAATGTATTTCTTAGCTGGGAAAGGTTACCTTGGGAGAGGGCAAAGGAGAGATTCCAGGTCAGAATTACACAGCTGACAGAGTGCTGCTGAAAATGTGACAGACAACACCTTAAACTGAATAAAATGCATTGGCGTTCATCCCTTACACAGTTAAACAGTAGAACTCATCACAGGATGTGGCTATGGTCAAAAGCATAAAAGGAAAAAAAATTAAAATCAAAAGATAACTAGACGAAACAAAAATAGCTAGAGTTTAATACTGCCATGAGTAAGCAATTTAGCTAGGAAGGATAGACAGGATCTTGTCTCTGTCCTGAAGAGCTATCTGATACTGGCTACAGTCAGGGCTCTGATATGATCTGGTGCAACAGGTTTCGCCGTGGGTCAACAGGAAAGCTCAGGAATGAAGACAGATGGACGATGATGACTCAGGTTCCACACCCTTGGCAATGCAAGAGCTACAGTCACCAAAAGTCAACAACCCAGCATTCCTGGGCACTTGCCCTTTCTTCAGTCCCCACCTCTCCTGTGGGTCGCCCAAGGAGGGGCGATGGGTGAGAGCTGCTAGCCAGCTTCAGAAGGCTGGGTGAGAAATCATGGCGCGTCCATCCCATGTAACAGCTGGGTGGCTGCGCGCACACACGGACACAGGGGCAGCTCCCGCAGGCGTGTTACACGATGCAGCACATAGAGTGCTGCCTCTGACATGGTCTGGGTTCCTGGTGTGCCTTCAGCTCAGGGGATCAAATCAGGAACCTACAGCACATACATCGATCTGGCATCCAGCCAGATAAGTGACAACAGAAGCTGCCTGTACCAGGTTTTGTCTTTCCTCCTTACAAATGCTGTGCTGCACGCTTGGGTACGGCGCTTTCATTAGCTGCGTCATCCAAGGTTTTTCTGATCCACAGGCAATCTGCTACCTGCAAGTGCCCCAGAAGGCCCGTCTGCATAGCACATTTGAAAACAAACAAAAGCCAGCAATTACTTACATTATACACATCCTCCTGGCCTGGTTGCAGCTGTAGTTTGGAGGCCTGGCTAAGCTGGAAGAAAGCATACAGTGAGCAGAGAGACAGTGGCTCTGTTCAGTCCTCTTGTTCCCACTCTCCTACAAGCTACTCTCATCAGAAACAAGGCAACCCATAAGCAGCCATCCATGGCACCTATGGGGCTAGGGGCAATACAAGCCACCACTTCTCTGGCATTTATACCCACATGACAGGTTCCTCTCAGCAGCCAGGTCATTTTACTTGCATATAATAGCAGTTTCACAGCTGCTCAAAGCATCTGAGTTTCGCGGGGTTCCTCCCCACACACACTGATTTTGCATTCCTATTCCATTCATATCATAATTCTGTGCTATCAAAGGCAGCTCCATCAGGCTATAAAATCATAATTGCAGCCTGTGTTAAGAAAAATCTGCTAAAAGCACTCCCCAAGACCCCAGTCCTCCGGCAAAAGTGCTGCCTGCAAAGCTCCTGGGCATCCTCAACTTCAGCAGGCACAGGGAATCCCCGTGCCCCTCAAGGAGTGGTGTCCGGCTTGTGGGGCTGTGGTGCCACCACAATAAGATGGCATGAGTGGCAACTAATGAGCAGGTAAAGGGTTTCCTTTCCGTAGCTACTCTTTGGCTCAGCTCCTCATTACAATTGCTAAGCCAAACCATCAGGTAAAAAGGAGAAGTTTTTGATCCGTGACAGCTACGTTCCAGTCTTTAAAAAAAAAGTGTCACACTACATTCTGTGTTGTTTTAGCTTTCTTGAGTTATTATTGTATGTTAAATTCTTTGTTAAAAGTAACTTTCTAGCTCGATTTGTATTTAGCATAAACTTGATTTTTTTTTTAATTACTTTTGTAGTAATTACAAGTTATCTACTCCACCTCTTTCCCCATGAAGGTGCCATTATTGTCCCTGAATCTGTGGCCAGACCAGTAATTTCCCAAACACTTAACCTAAGTTTCTTGCAACAGAGTCGAAATGTTCACATGTGCTTTGGCCATGTGCTCTGTCAATAAAAAGCTCACAACAGAGATGAGGTTGTGCCCTTGGCAAAAGCCTCCACAAACAATTCTTCTGGCCAGGAGGCAAGATGAGAGATACAACAGACTTATAAAACGGTCCCAGGTTTGGGACAAGACAAAGAATTCTCAGAAAATGTCCCACCAACTTCCTGGTGCCTTTATGGTGGCGCTTCAGCTGCAATGCCTCTGCTGCTTTTGGCTGCGAAACTCCAGCATAATCACAGGCACGGCTCTCCCCTTCCTTCTGCTGCCCACCCTCACGGAGCAGCTTCCTTGCTGTGGTTGAGCACTACCCTCTCACCAGCAAGCAGCTAGGCACACCGGGAGCACACCGAGTGCTCCCAGACATAAAGGTGAGGGATACTGCCTCTGACCAGGATCCATTTCCAGCTCCAGCCCTGCCCCTGCAGGAAGCCCCAGCAGGAGGAACTTTACTGGTTTCTGCCCCTGCAGCAGCACGCTTCAGACTTGCTCTGGGTGGGTGAGGAAGAGCAGCTGGCAAACACACCACACCTGCAGCAGCTCCCTCTTCCAGGCTCATGGTTTTCCAGGGATGCTTTGCTGAGTCCTCCTCAACTGTTGTGCTTTTGCCCCACACCAGGTGAGGTGCAGATCTCCTGCTGGTGGCTCAAAAAGCCTTCTAGTCCTAGGGCAGGACATTCATCTGTAGTCAGGATTTACACTGGCAACAGCCACAGTTTCTCCTTCACCATTACAGAGTTCTGCTCGTTTCCTTCAAATGTCTCTCTCTCTCTGGGTTCAACACTGGCTTTGCAGTCCTGAGAGAAGATCTCACTGCAGAGCTGATAGGGCACCACCAGCATCACCCTACCAGGGCTCCTGCCAGTGATCTCATCCACTGCCTGGTGAGAAGCAAGCCAAGCTCCTGCATGCAGCAAGCGTTTGCTGCTGGGAGGCTGAGCCAGATGTACCAACAGCAGCTGGGATATCTTTTCACCTGCTACGTGCCTGGAAACATGCATGCCTCCACATTACTTTAGCTTCTTCCACAGAAGTGCAGTAAAGCCATTAAGTATTTTTCCAGATGCTGAATAGCTGCAGGATGGTCACAATAGCTCATCAAGCTGCATCCCCCTGACTCCTCTCCTGTGGTTATTTGGGTTATAAAATTTGCATTATCACACTCACAGCATCAAAGATGTCTGACTCAAGACATTTTAAGACATCCTTCACAAGCTGGGCATTTATCCTGAATTTTCTCTGTACACCCTCCTCTTTTTCCAAAGATAAAGCAGCAGAAGAAGCCACATCACTGTTGATAAGGAATTTCCCAGCTAGAAGATCCATAAACTCTCACTGTATCCCTAAGTGTAGTGTCAAAACACTCTCATATACTCTCCGCCCCTCATGAACCTTCAGAAAGTACTTCTACAGATTGCTCAGGCTGGCACCAAAACAGAAGGAAAGTTAAAAAATACAAAAGAGCAAGGAAAAAAAAATTAAAATAATTAAAAAAAAGCCTTAGTCTAAGAGACATGCTTCCTCTCCAACCCCACTTTCCAACTCAGCCCAGTTTGTTTGAATGACCAAAGCTAAATGCATCAGTGTTTGGATAGACTGACCTTTGCTTTCACAAAAAGGGCTGTCATGATGATTGCGTAAATGAAGAGGAATCCATCCAGTAAGTAGCAGAGTCTTGGGTCTGTCAGTCCAAGAACTGGTACAGCATCTGTACAGAAGCATCAGATACATAGCAGTCAAGGCCATTTGTATCACTGGTTGCTTGACAACATACACGTGGCAGTGTTGCATAGCACTTCATGAAAAAATAACCAGTAGGAGGGCAGTGCTGTCCATTTGCAAAGGAGGTGAAAATCAGAATAAGAATCATAGGATTAATTAGGTTGGAAGGGACCACTGCAGGTCCAACCTCCTCCCTAAACAGCATCAAGTTAGACCAGGTTGTCCAGGACCCCAGCCGTCTGAGTTAGAGCATCTCCCAAGGACAGAAATGTTTGCAGCCTCCCTCAACCAATACAGGACATTTTTCCCAGAGATTTCCACTCGCAGATTCTGAGCTCTGCTCCTGCAGCTCACAGGCACAGGTTAGGCAGCAAGCATAGGATCTGCATGGAGACAACCGAGGATCACTAACACCACACTCACTGCAAGGAAGATTCACACAGAGCACTTGTTTTCTGGGAAAACCCAACAGCATCCCCTGCAGGGATACATTACTGGTTATGGAATCCTGCATCAACTAAAACTAGTGTGTGTGAGAGAGAATACATCCATTTGGACAAAATTTTAGGGAAGGGCTACTCAGGACAAGATTTTGTGTTAAATGTAAAGAAAGACTGACACCACTACAGCTGGCTGGAGACCCAGGCTGAAATTGCTACTCTACTTTATTCAGGAGAGGAGTTTGAAGATGCAATTCCATAATCCACATGATAGATTTTAACTGTAAAGCCGCAGTGTCTTCTCTGTGAGGGTTCTCTTGGGATTCTTGGAGACCGTTAATTGTGAGAAGGCAACTATGGGCAGGAGAGACAGCTTTTTAAACCTAGATGTCAGGGCATACCCATGAGACATCCTGATGTGCTTTTGGTTTGAGAGGCAGGTTTTAAATCTGAATTTCCTGCATAGGAACCTCAATTGACTGCCTCTTTTTGAATGGATCACCCCCAGAAGATTTTTTGTTTTAAAAAAGGTGTTAAAACTTTTCTGAAGGGAGAAAAATCTACTACTGCTCTAATCAAGAGCTCAATAAAATTGTTACTCAGATGACATTTATGTTCGTTTCCTAGTCAACATTGTATATGTTTATATTCTGACTGCACCAAGCCAGGCAAAATAAAGCTGTTTTTCAGCAGCTAAAACTGATGAAGCTGCCCCTGTACCAGTTTGTAAACACAGAGTAAGTTCATAAATGTAGCTTAAGAAAAATCAAAGCAATTCAGGTCAAGAAGCCTAAGTAACTATAAATCAAATATGTATCTCCAGGTCCACCCCCAAAGGAAAAGCTATATTGTATAGTTATTAAAAAGAAAAAAAATCAAAATCACTTAAAGTTTTACTCTGAGACATGTTTTGTACAAAGAATTGGAGTGAGTTCAAAAGAGAAAGACAAGAACGATCAAGAGCCTGTGAAGCACTTCAAAGCAGATAAATTGAAAAGAATTGGCAGGCTTCATCTCCTTCCTAGGGTGAACAAAGCACAGCAATTCTTATTAAACACAGGTGTTGGAGGGTAATTGAACCACTCAGTGCAGTGCTTCAAGGTGCTGAATTCCTCCAGTGCTGAAAGCGGGACCATTCCGTGTGCTGGGGTTTCTCCCTGGCCCATCAGGCTGCACTGATGATTTCATTTAGAAGAAACTTGCATGTGACATTCAGCCAGCACATGTTCCCCAGAAAGTGAGGAAGTCTCCTTCACAGGAATAAAGGTAATGATGTCGAGCAGCTCAAGTATGCAATTTGTATAAAGGATGACTGAAAAGCTGTGCCTGGATACTTGGTAATGCTATTGTAGACTCTCAAGGAGATGATGATATAATCACTGTTCCCTACTGAGAGCCTAATGCAGCCAGAAAAAAAAATAAAAAATAATTTAAAAAAAAAAAAAAAAACAAAAAAAAAAAAAAAAAAAAAAAAACAAACAAAGAGTAAATTTGTTTTCTTGTCTGAAATAGGATTTTTTGTTTTAATTGTGTGTTTAGAAACAAACTGATGGAAATAAATAAGGTCTGAGATCTTATAGTGGTTTTCCTTCTTCCCCTCCTATTTCTACTGTTTTCAAAATAAGGTTCAAAGCACTTTATAAACAATAACCTTCACCACATTTTTTTTCAGGATTATTAAACCTTATATACATGGGGAAAGTGGAGACAGAGAGATTAAGTTACTTGCCTGACATTGTCTATTAAACCAACAAACAAGCTGAGATGAGCTTCCTAGAGTTTTTCTTCTAAACAGTGACAGGACATTTTACACCAGAGTTGGTTCAGCACAAAACCAGCTTGAATCACATCAGATTTGGTAGCTAAAATGCAGCATCACGAGGTACAGCTGTAGAGTAGCCAGAGGTAATTTGTTTCTAGCTGCTTTCAGGCAGTGCAGCAGCCTGCCCCAGCATACCCTGGCCTCGAGCTGGAGTTCACACTGTCATCTCAAGCCCAGTATTTCTCCAGCACTAATAAACCCCCAGCCCAGGAGGATTTCAAGTAGGAGACACAGAGGACTGTGGAGGAAAAGTCAAGAATGCAAGGGATTTAGCTGTAGCTCTGTGTCAGCCCATGGTCAGAGCCCCCCAGCTGCCTGTGTGGTGCTTATCTGGGGCAGCCTGGCTGTCGGGCACACCAACTAATGGATGTTCAGTGGGGAAATTCTGCTGGACATAGTCTGGCTGTGATGGTTCCTGGAAAAATATGTATTGAGACAAGGATAAAGCCCAACATTTAGAAACAAACCAAGAAAACGGATTAGTTCATGGCTTTTCCTTCCTTAATATGTCTGATTTCTGTATTCTTTAAAAAAAAAAAAAAAAAAAAACCTAACGTGGTACAAAGCACTTTCTAATTAATAACCTTTGCAATAGCTTTCTGGATTAGAAAGTTAGGGAGATAAAAAGATGAAAGATTAAAAAACCTATTGAAACAAAGGTCAAAGAGTTATGAAGTGTAATGAACAAGCAGCAGTTAGCATCTGTTCAAGTGAACAGGATCAGTTTAGGCTTTTAAATCGCTAGAGGAGGGGTTACTGCCTCTTTAGTATCTGCATGACATGCACAAACAGAAGGCCAGTCCCTTAGGCACCACCAAAATGTACTCTTTGTCCCTCACCAGCCCTGAGCTGTGGTTTGGGAGGCTGAGGCCAAGGTTGCACTGCTGATGGTGGGAGCTGGGTAGAGCCAAGCCTGCCAGGCTTGCGGGAGCAGTCACACACAGCTGCCTCACACAAAGCAAATCACAAGTAATAAACATTTCACTAGTAATTCCCACTCTGTTAAACTTACAGATTAGCCAGTGTCTACTGTAAGTGGCACAGCATCTTTTCAATATTCACATACCAGTGTTGTACCAGTCCAAATTTCAGCAGCCCAGTAAAATTCAGCAGGGTTTTAAGGCAAGATGGCTAAGTACAGGCACAGCTAATGTCAAGTCACAGACTGCCAGGGAATACAGCTACATTGCATTGTAAATGTGACAAGCTTACTGCTCAAACAGCATCACTCTCTCCAGGCATCAAAGAGGAGTTGAGTCACAAATCAACATCTGGGCACACAAATACATACAGGCTTAATGATGAGGTCAAAATGGTGTTCTTTCTCTGGAGGGAAGCAAGCTCTGAAGGAATAACAGTTGAAGGTTTGCACTTACTCTTGCTCACTGAGTGCTCCTATGCAATCAGCTGCACAGTTAGATCTCACATTGCATAGCAGGGGTGACATTTACTCATAGACCACCAGGACACTAAAGAAAAATAGAAACAAACTTTGCCTGTTACAGCATTAGGCAATTACTTTTTTTTCTTTTCTTTGCTTTTAGGAGATTGTACAGGAGAAGCTATGGACAGCTTTGTACAAGGAGCTGACACAGGCTAAGGACTGGCAGAGCCATAGAAGATGAGGCAGCAGGAAAGAAGACTGAGTCAGTAATGGGAGCACGGCTGCATTTCGTGACAAGGTTGATAACCTTCTCAATCCCAAACCCCAGATACCTGCCACCACACGTGGGACTCTACCAAGCCGCACTTCTGCTGCTGAGACATTTCGTTCCAGTACTTCCTCCTTCCAAAGCCTGGACTTTTGTTCTCTTTTTCTTCTCTTAGACTCTGCGGCCTTTTACAAAAACCAATTCATACCAACAGCTAGCAACAAGCGACTGAGAAAAAAAAACTTCTATCAACAGGAGCAGCAGCCCCAATAGCTGAAGAAGAGGAAGCCTGGGGGCCAGCGAGGGAGGCCATCCCACGCCCTGCGGCTTCAGAGAGTGGTTTCAACCCCCCAGCTCAGGTCCAGCACCAGCTTGCTTGCATGTGCCTGTGGTTTTATTTCCAGCCACCTGCCCACCTGCTGGCCGCTCCCCTGCTCCAGCTCAGAGAGAGACGAGGAGTCCTAAAACCCATGTCCAGACACATCCACCCTGCTCCAAAACGTGGAACCATTGGCAGGTGCTGCACTCCAAGGCTGCCCGGGGCCTTGTCCACAGGTTGGCCCCCATTGCCGGCTCAATGTAGCCAGTCCCAACAGGGATCTACTGAAGATGAAGCACAGCCTAGACTTTGAAACACACCAGTGCATTCATTTTTTTTATAGGATTTTCTCTCTCCCACATTTTTAGTGTGCATTTCATTGAATGAGACCATGGTTCCTGGTAATAGTTTAAGAAATACAGACCATGAAAGCTGAAATACTTGGAAATTCAGATTAAATCTGTCCACCATTTCTCTCTCCCATGGCCTTCATCAGGTCATTCATTTCAGAGTTTTATGTTCAGAAGTTACCAAAATTCAGTAATATGGTTATAAATGAGAAGTTTTATGTTCCCCCAAACCAAGCTTCTCAGCAAAGCCCATGAAAACCAGTCCCAGCATGAGAGATTTGTTGATGCAACTGCAGTTGCCTACAAAGGTGTTTAAAGGCAGAAACCGTAGTGCCTTCTCCCAGCAACTAAGAGCTGCCTCCGCTACATGCCAGGGCAAAGCAGGTGGGATTTCTCAGACACCACAATCCTCTGCCAGCAGTGATCCAAGAGACTCATGGTTGCTGCATGCAGCTCACCTCACTTTTACACCTTATCTTCCAAAAACCTCCCGCAGCAGGCTTGTGTTTCCATACCCCCCTGGGGACAGACTTCCACAGCTGCAGATGCTACTGCCACCACGCTGCACATCAGGTGCCCACCAGACTTTCTCTACTGAGGCTGAATGCAGGGAAAGGTCAGGTCTGATGGATCTTGCCATGGTGCTGCTAACTAAAGTAAGGTGCTCTTATTGTAAAATAAAGTTAACTTTTACTTAAAGTACTGCTGACACCTGTAAGATGTTGAACCCCAGAGTTGCCTGTGCTCAGGGCAGAAAGTGAAGCAAGATGAGCACCCTGTGCAGCACTTCACTTCAAGTAGGTACAGGCTTGTTTCTGAAAATACAGCCCAGACTAAATGCCTAAAAGTTAGCCTTCTAAAATTACGAAATATAATCTTGTTCATAAAGAACATATCTATCCTGGGTTTTATTTGTTCATTTTTTCTATAGTTTTTACTTATAGATATAAATAAAGAGCAAACCTGGGACACTCAAAGACTGAAGAAGCAGAAGCCAAATCCTCCCCCCCTTGCAGAAGGAAGAGGCTTCTCCCTGCCATTGTTTGGGCACATCAAATCTGAGCAAAAACAGTCAAGGGCGGAAAAGGCCTGGATTACACCAGGCATGGTGTGATAACAGGTCTGATGGGCTCAGTAGTCATTTAACAGAAATGAGTGAAGTGAAAGGTGTCCCTTGCATCCAACCAAGTATGTGAATTCAGGAGGCTTCTCCCTTTATACAGAGACTGAAGATAGCCCCATTGATCATTAAATTGTATTCATATTACAGGGCCAAGTAACACTTTCAACATAAAACTTCCCCACTACTATATCTGCAAAACCAAGACAGCCAAGGGAAACCAGCAGGCTCTTAACACAGAGGAAGACACAATAACTCTACCACAGCAAAATACCATCAAGCTTGCTGCCTGAAAAAATTTCCAGGTTTGTCTTTTCATGCCAGCCACTTGCCTTTGTAAAAAAGTTGAAAGCTGTTTACATTACATTACTTATTTGTTTCCCCTCACTACCAGTTCCCTTAGCACTGAGGAAGACTCTTGTATTTGTTGTTAGTATGCCATCATGTATTTATGAAACATATAGCCAAAAGCACAGCTTGTGCCAATGAAGTTCAACATTATGGTTTACTGTTGTCCTCAGCTTTAAAGCCAAGGAGCAAATTGCTGCTATGGTCAGGATTCAGGTTATAATACCAGCTGTTGGGCAGCCAGAATAATTACATATAAGAAAGTATTTCAGGTCATTAACTTGCACTTTTTTATGCCAAAGAATGTCACCACAATGGAAACAGGCATTCAGGTTAAAGTGCTTTATGATCCTTGTGTGCCCTTCATACTCTTAACACTCCCTTTCAGGGGGGCACTATCACAAAGTCCAAATAATGCAACTTTCCTTCTGATTTATTTGGTAAGTAAGAGATTCAAAAGAAGGGAAAGAATATAATGCCTCAAAGGGCCAATGATTTTCTAGCATATCATGGAATAAAGACTAATAAAAAGTCCAGGCTACTGTAACAGAAGCAAGACAGGAAAGCCTCCAACTGTTGTCTGATTTGTGGAAAGAGGGCCTGGTGTGTGCAGAAAACAACAATAAATAGTCTGCTTTTCCAGTTTGAAGGTGAGGAAGATTAACTTCGAATTTATCATTAAATAAGGCAATCCTTCACTCTCCAAATCCTTCCAGAGCCTCATCAGAAACAGAAAGGAGGGGAGTGAGTTGCTCATCTCTGGAAGGGGACTCCTCACTTCATCAAAACAGTCAGTCATTCTCAGAAAAAGCAACTGCTTTCACTTCTCAGTTTTGCAAGAACTTGGTGCAAAGGGCTTTCCTGAGGCAAACCTGACGTTGCCTCCTAAAGACAGGAAACCATGTGCAGGGTGATTGCAGAACCTGGATATCAGACAAGCTCAGGTGACAGATGCAAGCTGTGCGGCTATTTCAGCCTTTGTAGGGGTTTTAGATTATACATGTGTGCTTTTATTAGACCCATCTTCATCAGGGGTAGCAGAATGGTTGTTTCTCGGTCACCTACACTTTCCATCCCCCTACCAATTCTGTCTGTGCATCCCAAAACAATAACTCACCTCAGACTGATTTACTGTTACATAGATTTTTTATGTTTAGCTTCTACAACCCAATACACATGATGGAGGAGTACTTAAAATAATTCAGTTTACACATGTCATCTCACTAGGAATCCCAAAGAGACTATATGCCACAAGGCTGAAGAAAGACACTGTGCAAACACGAGATGCTGTTGATTGTAATCAGATGTGTTTCTCCGTTTGGTGAGCACCTCACAGACATGGCAGATGTTTCCCTAGTCCTTTAAATTAGCACTTTTAAGTTCGACTTTCCAAAAAGCAGTGGAAGTAGGGTTATGCTAAGCAGCTTGCAGCTAGCTCACTGCCAGTCGCTCCAGTAATCAAATATAACATGGAGAACAGTTCCCAGCTGTGAGATTTATAAAGGACACTCTTTTAAAAGAGTAAAGACGTTTAAAAGAGTTTGCTTTTTAAAAGTAAAAGAGTGCCTTTTTTTTAAAAGGCACGCCCTTTTAACCTAGTTTCAGACTTCCAAAAGTAATTAAGTTTATGCTGGCTATCATGATTGGCAGGAAATGGCTTTCCACTAGCTGGGTAATAAAGTAATAGAAATATCTGCGCACAAAAATTCAGTCAGCTAGCACAGACAGTGTGTTTTCTTCTGGTCCCAATGTTAGTACGAGGAGGGACTGCTCTGATTTCACAGCTCGTAGCAAACTAGGCACAGAGATGCACAAGCCCAACAAGAGTCTCAGCAGAGCTGTTTTGCCTGAGATTTAGCTCAATTGCAACTCTCTTCATCAGCTGCAAACAGAGAATAAAACCTTCCCATCACAATGATGCAAGTTAAGGGTGGAGGTGCTGGAGAGAGAACTGGAACTACAGGGCTGTTTACAGGGGGAAGTCCACCCAATTCCTTGCACTGCAGCCAGCACAGACCAAAGCTGCAACAGTTACAGAACCCATTCTCAATGTCTGGTCAAAGCCATGACTGTACACTCATCACAGCTAATCCTGCTAGGATGAAACCTGTTTTTCTTTCCTTCTCCAGGATCAATTTCCACCTAAGCTCAATGACAGCACCAGATCTAACTCATGCCAAATGTGCCAGTGTCAGGAAGGAGACCAAACCCCTAATAATGAAAGCCATCCACTATTTAAGGTTAAGCCTGTAGCAACAGTCTGCAAAACCCAGAAAAAAGGCTGCCATCCGAGGCTTTCACCACTTTCACCATATAATGTTTTTCAGCAGATAAATATAGCTGAATCATAAGTAAGGCAGATGTTTGCAAAGCTGCAGAAAGACTGTAAGATTTACTTTAGCTCATCCAGCAGGACAACTGGGAGCAAACTGTACTAAGACTCACAAAGTCTTGAGATGTTTTCACTGCAGTCCTTGTATAGACATCCACTTGCAAGAAGGCTTCTGAGGGTGAGGAACTTGCTACTGAAACTTGATGTCAAGCAGAGAAACAGTTAAATCATCTTACAGAGGCAGTGGCGGCCTCAGGTTATCAGGCAGGAAGAAGGTTACATCAGCCCCAACGGCTGAGGCTCCATACGTTGTAGTAGCTACACACATCAGGGAGGGAGAGGTTTCAGAGCAGACCTTCAGTCCCCTGCTACTAACTTACTTAATGGAGAGCTATGTGTATCATGTCCTGCCACTGCTAGGAGGTGCACAGCCAAAAAACAATGTGCCTGCAGTTATGCACTAAGTAAAGAGAAAGGGTCATTAAGGATTTGGCTTAATATTAATTCCCTGCATATTTTTTTTGCAGCATTGCTCACCAGAGCTTAGCAATAATAACAATAATACCACTGGGTAATATTCCACTCTGAAAACAACATTCTGAACACAAAGCATTTCACAGGCCTCATAAGAAGAGACAATGGACAA